TCATTAAATTCCAGGACAGCTAGGGCTACACAGAGATACCCTGTTTCAAAGAAAAGAAAGAAGGAGGGGGAGAGAAGGGAGGGAGGGAGAGAAGGAAGGAAGAAAGGAAGGAAGGGAGGGAGGAAGGAAGGAAGGAAGGAAGGGGAAAAAGAAAAGATATAGGTGTGGCAGTGTCCACCTGTAATCCTAACATCTGGGAAGAAAATGCAGGAAAATCTCAAGTTCAAGGCCAGCTTGGGACAAAAAGAGAGGCTCTGCTTCAAAAAATAAACAAAAGGGCTACAGAAACAGCTCAGCAGTTAAGATGGCTAGCTGCTCTTTCAGAGAACATGAGTTCAATTCCCAGCACCCATATGGCTGCTAACAATTTGTAACTCTAGTTCCAGGGGATCTGATGCCTTCTTCCAGCCGCACCAGCACACACACACGCGGTGCACAGACATGCATGCAGGCAAAACACCCAGCCACATCAAATAAAAATAATAAATATTAAAAATAAATAAGCAAAAGCTTTCTGGGCTTGAAGGCACTCCCAGGAACATCTTGAACTTTCTAAGACCTGCCCGACGTTCTGCAAGAAGTGTGACAAGCATGAGCCCCTCAAGAGGCACAGTACAAGAACAAGGATTCTCTGTGTGCCCTATGACAGGCTACAGTGGGCAAGCTAAACCTATTTCCTCAGAAAGATTAAAGCTACCAAGAAGATCATGCTACGCTTGAGTGTGTGAGCCTATTGCAGAACTAAGAGGATGACCGCTCTAAAGAGATACAAGCAGCGCTCTGAGGCTGGAGAGATGGCTCAGCAGCTAAGAGCCCTGGCTGTTCTTCCAGAGGTCCTGAGTTGAGTTCCTACCAACCACATAGTGGCTCATGACCATCTGTAATGGCATCTGATGCCCTCTTCTGTCATGCAGGTGTACATGTAGCAGAGCAGAAAGAAAGAAAGAAGGAAAGAAAGAAAGAAAGAAAGAAAGAAAGAAAGAAAGAAAGGAAGCAAGCTTAAAAATAAGGCAGTGTACTCATATACATAAAACAAATAATAAATCTTCTAAAAGAGAGAGTATTTTGAACTGGGAGGTGAAAAGGAAAGAGCCAAATGACTGTGTTCTAAGCTGATTTTGTTATGAATTCCAGCACAGAGTAAATAAATACAAAGGATCCCGAAGAAAAGCATGATGCTGCAGGGGGAAAAGCAATCACTGCAGGAAAAAGTATTCCAAGTAGGTGAGAGGGATGGAATGCTGGTCTTAGAAGCATGAACACATCGTGTGAGGATAGGAAGGAAGGCAGATGCTGACGAGGTAGGAGATTTGGGGATGGGGGAAGCACAGGAAACTTTCTCGATTGCTTACTTTCTCGGTGAGTTAGTTTCTTGGTGACAGGGAGAATGTGGAAAGAGCTCCTGGAATCTGAAGCAGGAAAAGTTGTGACCTACCACTCACAGGGAAATCAGACTGGCTTAGAACTGCCAAGGGTTCCTCTGCAGTTTGTGGTTATAGATTTAAGAATGAAACAAGTCAGTCTGGCTGTGCATGTTCCTCTAGGTAGATTCAGCTCTCCAAGTGCAGACACAGATGGTGGATTTAGGCAGAAACTTAGGCAGGAGGGGTCCTACATGACAACCATATAAAGACAGAGTCAAGGGATTTGAAAGCATGGCTATAATGTTGTGTCTTAGAAGATGAACTGACCAAGGAGATCCATGAAGAAATGACACTAATGGGAGGAAATGAAAACAGAGCAGTCAAGAGACTAAAGGTCCTGGCGAAGCCAAGCCACTCTGGATCCTGACAAACACTGAGGAGGCCCAAACAGGAAACCACAATGATTTCAAGGCTACCTTAAGCTACACATTATTTTATTTTATTTTATTTTATTTTATTTTATTTTATTTTATTTTATTTTATTTTATTTTATTTTATTTTTTGGGTTTTTGTTTGTTTGTTTGTTTGTTTGTTTGAGACAGGGTTCTTCTGTGTAGTGTTGGCTATCCTGGAACTCATTCTGTAGACCAGGTTGGCCTTGAACTCATAGATCCACCTGCCTCTGCCAGTTTTAAAGATGTGAGTATTCTACCACATCCAGCAGAACTTGGTTTCAATCCGCAGCACCCACATGGCAGTTCACAACCACCCGTAACTCCAGTTCCAGACGCCCCTGATGCCCTCCAGTTCTAGACCTGATCCCTCTTCCGGTGTGTCTGAAGACAGTTACAGTGTACTCATATACATAAAATAAATAAATAAATCTAAAAACATCTTTTTTAATACACTATTTTTTTTAAAGATAATCCATATTCATGTTGGGACTGGGGGAACACACCTGTAATCTCAGCACTTCTGAAGTAGAGGCAGGAGGGAGAATCAGGAGTTTGAGGCTACCCTTAGCTACATGAGACCGTCTCAAAAAAGTCCATATTCCCATACTCTTTTGTTGTTGTTGTTTCTTAAGACAGAGTTCTCCTGGCTCTGGCTGTCCTGGAACTTGCTTTATATACCAGGCAGGCCTCAAATTCAGATCCGCCTGCCTTTGCCTCCCAGATGTGAGGACCAAAGATGTGCGCCACCACGCCCAGCCATATTCATACACTTACATGCCTGTGAATTTTCATAAAGGATGTAAATAAACTGTTAGCAGACTAAAAACCCTGAGTTTCTAGCATTCAAACCCTGAATCAATAAGTTAAACCCCTCCACACACACGTGTGTGGAATGATTCGCTTATTGAGGGGATAAAAAGTAGTCATAGGTGTTCCTCACAGGCCTGGGTATACTGAGAGTATAGCTCACTATAACTTTATGTATTGTTTGTTGAGAAAAGGTCTCCCTAACCTGGCTTCAAATCCTGATCCTTCTGCCTCGGCTTCCTGAGTGCTGGATTTACAGGCATACAGGCATGCACCACCAGGCCTGGCTTGTAGTTTTACTTTTGTTAAGCCTCTTTTTAGTTTGTACTGTCTGTAAATCTCCGAGAATTCATGTCTGGGCCCAGTAATATGTTGTGAAAATGAGACCAGAGACACATAGGCAGGACTTAACAGCGCTGTTCGATAGAAGCACAGAGCCCAACAATATCCCATTCCCAGTTGCATCAACACAGCATGTTTTCTCTCTCTCTCTCTCTCTCTCTCTCTCTCTCTCTCTCTCTCTCTCT